CCCCAAAACCCCAAAACCCCAAAACCCCGGGGTATTAGATTTTCATTGAATCATGGAATTCTTATTGCTAAGGATTAAGATATTCGGTGCTCACTGTGATGTGAGACAATCCAAAGCATGAGAGCTGTTGTCTGACTTCATTTTCTAGTCCATTCAACCTATCTAGGATATTGAGGTGCTTGAGTGACTCTCTAAGACCAGATTCACTGATTGCATAAATCATACTTCCATACTCTACTATGGACTCTGCAGATTCATAATTTCTTTGAGCCTCATCCATATGACTCATACTAAGAACCTTGGTCTTGTATTTTCCTTCGCCTATAGAACTAAATACCAATTGCCTTACTTAGTTTAAAGTTGAAACATTGGTCTTCTATATTATCTGTATCAATATTCCAGTCGCCTAAATTTTAAATGAAATATTCTTCAGAATAGTATTTTAACAAAATTGAACAAAATTTTTAGAAACTCTTGAATTTGAGCCTAATCATGGAAATAGCTTTACAGTTGTGAAAGGAGATCTTCTCGACATGTCTGGCTGTTGTGATAACTTTAGAAAGCTGATCTCTCGTAAAAATTATGGAACTGAAAGAAAGATCTTTAACTTGGCCAATACTGCACATCAGTCCATCGAAGATGCCGCATGCATACCCAAATGAATCGCCTTTGAGACAAGACAGACTCAAAGAGGGTATTTGTTGGTAGATGCATTGTTGCAGAAAGTTGTCAACCTTCGTTAAGTCTTTGCCAATATTGGATACTCTCACAGCTTTGATTCCTGGAAGTGCTGTCTGTGATGCCAGTTTTTGTCCAACATCATCGCCTTCAAATTTTTCATTAGAATCGAGCTCGAGCAAGAATGAAGGCTCTGACTGAAAAGCTGATTGTGGAGTTTCAGAATACATCTCATGCCCTGAGGATGGATCCATTGTGTTGTAAGAGTCAGAGAACATCGAATCAGAATCAAAAGATGACTCCGCTGAAGGAAAATCAAAAGGGGTATGGTAAGATGGAACCTGACGGGCTGTTCTGACTTTTAGAGGTAATGGAAAAGCTCTCTTTTGAGGTCTACTTGGTGGGAAAGAAGTGGCTTGAGGGTTGGCTGGCAGATACCTAAAGAAGGCTTAGAAAAGGAGAGTTCGTAGGAGTTTATTACTGAGCATGAGGTCTGTTTGTTTGAGCTTTGGCTAACTGTAGAGTCAGTGAAACTATTTTGTCTTCCAGTTCTTTTATTTGGTTCTGATATTTTTGAGATATTTCTTCCTCTATCTCCGCTCTCATCTGCAGCAGATGTTAAATTGGAGAAAGATGAAGAATACTAAGATAGGCTTCTTAAGTTCGTTATAATAAAAAAAATTGTAAACTATTAAGCTCTTTGTTCCCAAAGCAAGGTCAAAATCCTTTAAAACAACCTAGAAATTTCTTCTTAATAATTTTCTCTATCTATCAAACTTACCTTTTTCTCCTCTTCTTTTTTATCACGGATTTCTTTATTCTCCATGTATTTCTCAAAGACTTCTTTAAAAATGTCTTTAAATTTCTTAGAATACAAAGGAACTCCTAGAGATTAGGCTAAAAATACCTGCAAATGGAGATATATGCTCCAAAGCATTGTGAACTTTCACATCGAAAGGCGACTTCGGGTTGATGAAATAATTGTACGTCAACATTTGGATTGGGTTATAACCCTTTTCATCTCTATACACAGTTAATAAGAGGTATCCATTGGACCTTACCTTCCAAAGTCTCCGCTAATAATATCTTCTTTCAATCTAGAGAAACATTGTTAGATTGATGGATTTTAGTTGGAGATAGAAAAGTCAAGTTTCATATTATTTGAGAACTTACCTGCTGCATTCATCGATAAGTGTTTCAAAAACCTCATATTTTCCATTCTCGATAGCCTCCTTCACATCAGTGATGTAATTACAATAAACATTTTTGGTGAGGTCATTGAAGACTTGATCAAATCCTTCAATATAGCAAGAATCTTCATATATTTCAGAAATAATTTTGATGCGGGTGATCACTTCATCCAACTCCTTCACTTTCTTCTCAAGTCCATCTGTTTTAGTGTCGATCATTTTGGGATTTCAGGTGCTATGAGAATCTATGCGACAATCTCGACAAATCTTTGTATTTCAGTGTTCACAGTAGAACTTAATGTCACTAAAAGCTATGAAGTTGATACTTACTTCTTGCAATTTAGGCTTCTGCATTTACGTCTAGACCAGCATTAGTAAGAAAGAAGCAAATCTACATCAAAATGAAAAGGAATTAGAATTTGTATCAGAAGATTGCATCAGCTTAGGAAGATCCTCAAGAACGAAACCTGAGACCTTTCCATTCAAAGTCCAAGAGGGAGGTTTGAAATTTTTGAAAGAAATTTACAAATTTTCTTGTCTCTTAGTTTCCATTATTAGATAATTAAAAACTTCTCTCAACAATTTATACTTACCCCGGGGTTTTGGGGTTTTGGGGTTTTGGGGTTTTGGGG